CAAAGATACAAAGGGTGCCCCCCCCCCCCCCCTCCAACCTGTTCTTGTTGATGATTGGATGTTAGTCTGCGGGACCACCCATCCACAACTTCCTTTTCCCGCCACCGATAATTAGGCTGTGATAGTTTTGCTGGTGCCAGTATACTGCATGTTATGTAATGATGAGGGCAGTGGAGCCGAGTCATCAATCAGCATCCACACATTTTCTTCAGGAAATACATTTGTCTAGTTGTTATTACACTTAGATTCGTGTGTAGGGTTAGAGTTAAAGTTAAAGTGAATGATTTTTAGTTTTATCATATCTTTCACTGAAGTCTGGTATCTCAAGACCCTGAACACTTCTTCCACTACTGCCTTCATGGGACTCACAGTTCAGGGTCCAGGGAGATAAGGAATGGTCAGCAAAATGTGATTAAATCGATGTGAAGAGTAGTAGATGGTTTAAAAGCGCTAATGTTACAGTTAGTGTTTCAAGGCCTGCTGAATAAAGCTTACAGACTTGTGTGGCTGGGCAGCATAACCGCACTGCCCCTTTAACCAGCTCTCCTCTTCCGTCGCTACCACAGTGTTGTTCTCTTCCTCATTTTGCTGCTTTGTTTTCATTGTCGCTCTTTTAATCATGGCTGCTCATTCTACCGAGGAACCGTTCCCCTTCCATGGGCTGCTCCCCAAAAAAGAAACCGGCGCGGCGTCTTATCTCACCAGGTTCCCGGAGCACGATGGCCGAGGAGTGCTCATTGCCATCCTCGACACCGGCGTGGACCCCGGGGCCCCCGGCATGCAGGTAAATCTGACCGGGTGCCTCACTTTAGTCAGCAATGAGCTAGTTGGTGTAAGCTAGCAAAGCTAAAGGCCCAACTCATTCACGCAATTTGTACACATTTACTCAATGGCAACAGCTAGCTTAGCTCAGCTGCTAAGCTAATCTTATGACAGTGAGCTGTATAGTTTTTATGACAACAAATTCAACACAAAGTAGTAACTGGCAGATATTTTTTCTTGGTCCCCTATTGTGTTTTGGCGCTAGACGAGCTTACATTTAACTAGCTAATTAATATTAGCTTGCTAGCATGGCAGCTGAGTTCGTCCACATCAGTTTAGCTTTTTCCCTTCGGCAATTGTAGTTTGCACTGTCACTGGGTTAATTACGGTCTGGCTGTTGTGACCAGGTTTGTAGTAATGTTAGCTAGCTAAAATAGTTAGCTAGTTGTCGCTTATTGAGTCATAATTAGCAACATGCTGCTTGCCAAGTCAGACCGGAGCTTCATATATTAAATAGGTTAGTAGAAATCTGCCAAGTTGTATTCAGTTATGTCTGTTGGCACATCATTATATTAAGGGTAACCATTTCTTTTCAACCACGTGTAATCTTGCTTCTTTTGTGGGGCAGAGCTTGAATCTGAGCTTTTCAAGGTGTATAAACAGCATGAGGGGTATTGCTGTTGCAGGACACTGAAAGTTTATTCAGCCCTCAGGATGTTTCAAAATGACATGCTTCTTTAAACTAGGTTTTGTTGTCCACAGTCGTTCCTGTCCATTATAAGTCACTGAATATGTACTTTGCCTCTGTTCCAGTAAAGTTCTCTGTTGATAACTGATTTGCCTTCTTTATTACTGCTTGTTTAGGTCACAACCGAGGGGAAGCCAAAGATCGTTGATATCATCGATACAACGGGCAGTGGTGATGTAAACATGACCACTGTGGTAGAACCGAAAGATGGGACAATCGCTGGCCTCTCTGGTAGACAACTTAAGGTCAGCAGGCACCTTTTGATAGTAAAACAAAAAATAAAATCAACTGTCACATAAGAAATATGCTAATGCAAGTACGGGTCCAGCATATTAAATTATTTTGTGGTGATGTGTATTGATACTGTATCTTATATCATGTTATACATCATCAGGCTTGCACTTCATGTATTTAGCTTCCTATCTGTTTCACTCTGTGTCTTTTTATGTCTTCCAGATTCCTCCTGCTTGGGTCAATCCATCAGGGAAGTATCACATTGGAGTTAAAAATGGCTATGAGTTCTTCCCTAAGGCTCTTAAAGAAAGAATACAGGTGGGAAGACATGAAATTATTACTGTATTAGGTCTGTCATGGTTTTGATATTGCAGTGCTATGGTTGTACACTGTACTAGATGCAAAAGGAGTGATAACCCAAATGCAAGCTTAGATATAATACTAAAATATGGCCAAAAATACAAGTTGTCCTTTGTCCTCATGAACATTGGAAAAAGTCCGGATTTCTATTATTACTTTCCATATTACACCAGCAAAATGTATTAATAAAAACTTTGTAATGAATGATGAAATGCATAATAAAAAAGTGAGTAGAAAACCTGGATTAATTTGACACCAAGTTTCTGATGATAAAGCTGTTGCAATATTCATGCTAGAGCGTACATTGTCAGAATATTTAAAATAACATTAAAAACTCTGGAGACTCATTGACTTCTGTCATTGAAAAGGCACTGTTACTTTTGTCTACTAGAAAGAGCGAAAGGAGAAGATGTGGGACCCACCACACAGAGCAGCACTTGCTGAGGTCTGTCGTAAGACAGAAGAGTTTGACCTCGCTCATCCAATAACCTCACAGGTCAGACCAACAAACTTCAGTTCTTGGTGTACTCACCAGCATTTTAACAAAGCTGTTACATAGTCTCTTTCACTTGCACTCTATATCTTCTCCGCAGATGGAAAAGTTGCAGAAAGAAGAGCTGCAGAGTCAGTCAGAGCTGCTGGCATCACTAGAAAAGAAGTACAGTGATCCTGGTCCTGTATATGACTGTGTGCTTTGGCACGATGGTGTCACATGGAGGTACCCACACTAGCATTTGTCTTCTTCACACATGATGTTTTGGACCATTGTCACTGTCTACTATTGTTACTACTTTGTTACTATTTGTTCTCTTTAGGGCGGTAGTGGATACTTCAGAGTGTGGAGAGCTGTCCCAGTGCACAGTGCTGTGCTCCTACAGAGAGAGACAGGACTACGCAACGTTAGGAAACGCTGAGATGCTTAACTACTCTGTTAATATTTATGATGAGGGAAATACACTCTGCATCGTCACTAGTGGAGGTGAGGCATCCTACCACAGCTCCTCTGAAAGGAAGCCTCCTTGTGATTCATTCATTTAACACAAAGCACTGCAGGTTTGCCAGTTAAGGCTCCATAATATGTGTGATTTCACTGCATTATCTCCAGTCTAACTTGCTTTTGTGCTGTTAAAGGGGCTCATGGGACACATGTTGCAAGTATTGCAGCAGGTTACTTCCCAGAGGAACCAGAACGTAATGGTGTGGCCCCCGGTGCCCAAATCCTGGCTGTGAAGATTGGAGACACCCGCCTCAGCACCATGGAAACGGGCACAGGCCTCATCCGTGCGGTATTGTCCCCGGACTGTCGGACTGTTATGCTTTAATACTTTACCTTTCTAATTATATCTTTTTTTTGTTTTGTTCTGTTTTTTACTGATTCCTTCTTTATCTCTGTGTCACTTAAAGATGATTGAAGTAATGAACTACAGGTGTGACCTGGTTAATTATAGTTATGGGGAAGCTACCCACTGGCCCAATTCAGGGTAAGTACGGTGTTGTGGCAGTGGTGTGGTACCATTTATGTGGGTTAATTTTGTGTTGCACACCTAGGCTCACTTATTTTTGTCAATTTGTTCTTCAGGAGGATTTGTGAGGTCATCACAGAGGCTGTCCAGAAGCACAATGTGATATTTGTTTCAAGTGCTGGAAACAATGGCCCGTGCCTGTCCACAGTCGGCTGCCCAGGGGGAACTACCAACAGTGTCATAGGTACACACACTGATAAAACACACCTACTGATGCATGTATATCTTGGTTCAACTAGGAAAACATTGAAAGATTTTGGGGAATAAACAAGACAAAACAGTATTTGCATTAATTCCTGCTCCCCATTCTCCACAGGTGTTGGAGCATATGTGACTCCAGACATGATGGTGGCAGAGTATTCCCTGAGGGAGAAGCTGCCTCCCAACCAGTACACCTGGTCATCCAGGGGCCCCAGTACAGATGGTGCCCTGGGCGTTAGCATTAGTGCCCCTGGCGGTGCCATTGCATCTGTACCCAACTGGACTCTTCGTGGCACCCAGCTGATGAATGGCACATCCATGTCATCCCCTAATGCCTGTGGAGGCATTGCGTTAATCCTCTCAGGTGTGTCCAGTGGACTAATATGAGATGTGAAAATAAGTGTGCATGAATGCAGTTCTGATCCTTATGTATGATTTTGTGTGATACAGGACTGAAGCAGAATGGGATCCGTCCCTCTGTTCCTGTTGTTAGAAGAGCACTGGAAAACACAGCTCTGAAGGTTGATGACATTGAGGTGTTTGCACAGGGCCATGGAATAATCCAGGTAACTTGTCTATAATTGATCTAGGGGATTCGTCTTTTTAATCATCTTTTGTAACAGTCTAATCATGTTCTTTTATTTTTAAGCATTTGTTTATATATTTTCGTGGCATCCAGTAACCTCCTCCCTTTCTTTCTCTCAGGTGGACAAGGCATTAGACTACCTCACTCAACACGCCTCTTTACCCACAAGCCACCTCGGCTTCTCAGTAACCGTGGGTGCACAGAGGGGCATCTACCTCAGGGACCCAGCCCAAATTCTTGCACCCTCAGATCATGCAGTAGGAATTGAGCCCATCTTCCCAGAGAACACAGGTACTTTTCATACTTAGTACCACAATAGTCACAGGCATTTTTGGTTTGCTTTTGCAACATATTTAGTGTGGATAAGTGTTTATTTTTTACACCATTTGTCTTCTTTTAACATCATCACAGAAAACTCTGAGCGAATCTCCTTGCAGCTACACTTGGCACTCACATGTGCCACCCCATGGGTCCAGTGCCCTTCCCATTTAGAACTGATGAACCAGTGTCGTCATGTCAACGTCCGCATCGATCCTGTGGGGCTGAGAGAAGGAGTGCACTACACAGAGGTAAGGACAAGACAGAGACTGAATCCAGATGTCCAGACTTCACCACACTTGTAGACTTGCAGATTTTTCAGCATTGTTTCTGAGAAGTCCCCGAGTGTTGTGGGCTGTCTTGATCCACAATATACCAAGCCCACAAAGGGCCTCAAGTGGATGTAGATGTCCAGAGAGTTTTCTTAGTGCGCAGAGTAGGGCTGCAGCAGTATACCATGGTATGAAAATAGATGGTTATCATACCATGTGCATTTGCTCATTACTGGTATTGAAGAAAGAAACTGCAGTGCGCATGCAACTTTCCTCCCCGACTGCAGCAAATGGCAGAGGAGGAGGAGGCTGAAATCACCAAACTCCATCCACCAAAAAAAAACTTTAAATCAGCAGTGCAGGATTTCTTTGGATGTCTCAAAAAAACCTCCCAGACGATAAATGTTGGGCATAAAATGCACTATTGACATAATTTCCCACATTGTCTGTTTGCTAATCTTTAAGTTATAAAATGACTCGCAGTGATCCCAATCTGACCCCAGAAACAAGATGGAGGACAAGATGGAGATTTTCTTTTTGTATGTATCAGTATTAATCTGATCACTGTGATGTGGTTTTTAGGTGTGTGGGTATGATACAGCAGCGCCTGCCTGCGGTCCACTGTTCAGAGTTCCAGTCACAGTTATCATCCCTGCCAAGTAAGTTCTTATTTTACATTATTTTCAGTCTAAGAGGTTTGTGTACGTCATAGATTGTATAGAAAGATGGACTACTTCACATCTTCCCAAAAGTGAAGCCACCACAAGTCGATTGGTGGCTGGTTACATAGCGGCAGGAAGCGGTGATGCATCATCCATCTTTTTATATGCTCTATGATGTGTGTTTGTAGTGACTCATTGCTCTTTCTTCTGTCTGACAGAGTGACAGATAGTCGTAATCAGGAGCTGTGTTTCACAGACATCCACTTCAGACCGGGCCAGATCAGACGCCATTTCTTCACTGTTCCTCAGGGTGCCTCCTGGGCAGGTCAGCGACTCTGTGTGATAAGGGGTGTACTTTGGTGTACAAGTGATAAATGTTAGGAAAAGTATTGATGAGCAATCACCAGTAGTATCAGTCAACCTTTGGTGTGTTTTGATCCACAAATTTATTATGTAATGTTGTACATTTCAGTATGGCACTGGTTACTGTTTGTTTTCAACTTTTTAATTTGACATTTTGATTAAAGTATAGTGATTTAGGTTTCAAAATGAAAATGTGAAGTTTTAAAATGACTCATTTTAAAATGCTTTTTCTCTTTGCCCCTCCCCTGTCTTCCTCCTCCACCTTCGGGTTTCACTTCTTGCTTTCATATCATCACCTATATTCTCTCTCCTCCTTGTTGCTCTGTTTTTCCACCTCTGTGTCCCTGCTTCTCTCCTGCAGAGATCACCCTAACCTCTCACTCAGGAGATGTGTCGTCAAAGTTTGTTCTCCACGCGGTCCACCTGGTCAAACAGAGAGCATACAGAGCCAATGAATTCTATAAGTTCTCTTCACTATTGGAAAGAGGCTCACTAACTGAGGCTTTTCCTGTGCTGGTACCTATATTTCATTTATAATTTATGGTTATTTGACTGTGTCTTTGCACTAAAGTAAAGTGTAAACATAATAGATTTAGCTTGATAAAAAGCAAATTCAGGGCTCCAGACTAACATTTCATACTCGTGGCACTGGCACCATCAAGTCTCAGATGGTGGCACCAGTGGCAGATTTGGTCGCATCAGCTGTTTTACAACGAATCTGTATTTTTCACAAATTATTTAAACACCCTTACCATGCAGTATGCATAACCTACATTTATAATAAGAGAGGGAGACTTGGGGAACACAATAAATGGGAAAATCATCTCTTTCAATGTAGTCACTTTAGTGCTCTATAGGCTAGCGGACAAAATTATGATAATAATGACACTGATGATGAAGATTAGGCTATTATATTTTAGTTCAAGTACAAATTGTGCACATGCTACGATGTTTGCATATGTGATTTACTTCTCTCTTTTTCTTCTTCTGAAGAATTTCTGCTCTTTGGCAATGTCTGTGTTGGACTTCATGTTGCTAGTAGTCTACTACTTTAAAGAATCAGAATCAGCTTTATTGGCCAGGTGTGTTGGACACACGAGGAATTTGACTCAAGTACATCGGCTCTCAATGTGCAAACAGTAAACCTGCATTTGGCTGTGTAATATAGCACAATAGCAGTATTAACATCAACAAACAGTGCAAACAATGCAGAAAAAGCAGTATAAACAGACAGTAAACAATGCAGACAACAAGGAATGTTCGTTGAAATGAGATAATTAGGGATAAAAATAGAGCACTTAAAACAGAGTACTAGAGACCTGTACGAGGTATATTTACAGGTATTGCACTGAGGGTTATTGTCCAGTCATACTGTTGTTGGTTAGGTGTTCATCAGAGTGACAGCCTGGAGGAAGAAACTGTCCCTGTGCCTGGTTGTCTTAGTGCACAGTGACCTGTAACGCCGTCCAGAGGGGAGGAGTTCAAACAGGTTGTGTCCGGGGTGTGAGGGGTCAGCAGTGATCCTCTCAGCCCTCCTTTTGACCCGTGAGGTGTACAGGTCCTCCATGGAGGGCAGGCTCACACCAATGACCTTTTCTGCAGTCCTGACTGTCCGCTGAAGTCTGAAGGATTGATGGTGGGTTTCAGCCACTACTGTCTTCAAACTGGGACTTCACTAGATGCAAGTGGCGCAAATTAGCGACTAGTGTTGGATTTGTTCAATCCACACTGACTGCAACCTGCGTGCAGTGTGTCTCATCAGAACAGCTGTTTGTCAGTAGGAAGACAGTGCGGTCTTCACCAGGCTGACTGACAGCAGAAATGTACCAGACAAAAATAGACTTGATCAGCAGTGTTTATATGTATGAATTTATTAATTTCCCTGTCTAGCTACAAAGGACGGGACAGACCAGAAAGCGATTATCTTATCTTAAAATGCAACTGATCACTCACAGTCTGGAGCCCTGTATTTGTTATCTGTAGTTCTGTGTGTGAAGCCATCCACAGGTACCTGGAACGGAAGTCACTGTCTTACAGAAGCAAGCATATTAAAACAACAATGTTTTGTCTCCTCACCAGTCTGGTAGAGTAGTAGAGTTGTGCATTGCACGCTGGTGGGCAAGCCTGGGTGATGTCACAGTGGACTACAACATCTCATTCCATGGACTCAACATTTCTCCTTCACCCCTGCACATAGTAAGAAGAGTACAGACATTCCAGAAAGTAAGATACAACCCACAAGGTGTCAGTTTTCTGCTTATAACTCGTGTTTGTCTCTGCTCAGCACGCTTCAGAGGGAGTGACGAATTTTGATGTGTTGTCGCCTCTGAGGTACGAGGAGGTGTCCCCAACCATCACCCTCAAATCATGGGTTCAGCCCCTCAGGTAAACGCACATACACACATGTTTTGTTGTTTGATAACAACGCAATTCATTGTGTGATCCCTGTTCTTGTCATTGTTATTTTAGACCCTTAAGTTCAAAGATAAAAGCCTTGGGAATAAGGGATGTCCTCCCCAATAACAGACAGCTCTATGAGATTGTCCTGACCTACAGCTTTCACCAGGTACTTCCAGCACAACACAGGAGAAAGAAATACTGTTTTTAGTGTGTGTGTGTGTGTCTGATCGTTGTTTGTTCTGTCCTCAGCCCAAGAGTGGAGAGGTTACCCCCAGCTGTCCCATGCTGTGTGAACTGCTCTATGAGTCTGAGTTTGACAGTCAGCTCTGGATGCTGTTTGATCAGAACAAGAGACTCTTGGGCTCAGGAGATGCCTACCCACACCAGGTACACTCCATCACATGAAGAGCTGGCCCCTGAGATTACATAGGTTTTCGTTCCCAGATGTTCACACACATCTGTAGTTGGTAATTTTTTCAGAAATTACATGCACTTAAGTAACCTGGTTACAGTTGGGTTTTGTCCAGTAAGCTGATGTATTTTATTTTTTAAAATGTCATGTAAACATGTCATAGAAATAGTTTCTCTTATCAGGGTAGAGAAACCTTAGTTTCTCAGGTAGGTTTGTCCAGGAGGAAACTGATTTCTCTGCCATATATACTGTTAACCAGGTTTGTAATGGGCTCTTTATAAGTGCACATGTGCATGACAGAAAGCGACCAGCAGACCTTTTCTAAACTCTGACACATTCGCACTAATACAAAGAGTTGGGGACTGAGACGGCATCTTCTGTCACAGTGAAAATAAACAATCTGATTACTGACTTGCTGCATGTATATGTATATTTACAGTAACCTGGTTACTACAGTGCATGTAAACTTGTTCTCCAGTTACCTACGAGTAAACATACCAATTGCAGATAGTCAAGCGAATGATAAGTTCCTGATGTGCACATCATGAACTGAAGCACCTTCTGTCTGTCGGACTTTTCTAGTATTCCCTGAAGCTGGAGAAGGGAGACTACACTGTGCGCCTCCAGGTCCGCCATGAGCAGTCTACTGAGCTGGAGCGCCTTAAGGACCTGCCATTTGTGGTTTCTCACCGTCTGTCCACCACAATCAGTCTAGATGTCTACGAGACCCATCGCGCTGCCCTCTCAGCCAAGAAGAAGGCAAACTCGGTAACCTTGTCCCCGGGTGCCAGACAGCCTTTCTATGTCACAGCCTTACCAGATGACAAGTGAGTCAGACTAATAAGGGATTTTTGTTTTGTGTTGTACAACCAAGCTTGTAGTCACCGGTTCAGACTCGTAATTTCAAATTGATTGTCTTCTAGGAATATTCTGTGAGACCCAAATATTCTAATCTTAGCAGCTCAACATTCAAATCACAACTGGTTAAGAAAATCTTGAGCAAAAAAATTCCTCCTCAAATTTCTTTATATTAACATGATATCAAATGTGATCTTTCTGTCTTTGTTCTCTCTATTGTTGTCTTTCAACCTTCTCCCTTTTTTAGGCTCCCCAAGGGGACGAGTCCAGGATGCTATCTTTCAGGCTCTCTTGTTGTGCCCAAGAGCGAGTATGGCAAGAAAGCGGTCAGTGGCTCTGTTCTTTCTCAATCTAGACTTGTAAGCAGTGGTCACTGCTGCTCCTTGGGACCCAGAGTCATGATGGTTTTCATCAGGAACTTTTACACATTGATGAATGCAGGAAAAAAAAACAACCTTGCATACCTTAACAGGGTTAAGGCATGGCACCATGGCCAGTCTGCCATTTCCTTAGTTTGCCCTGGTTGATCTGAAATTCAGTCATTAAATATGTGAAGTACTTATGGTCCCGAGGTTCAGGGTTAAAGACCAGTGCTTGAGTACTCATAGCTTTTTCCTTTTTTTTTTAAAGTTCTGTGAAATGAATTCGCTTTCAGACCTGAGATGATCAGTCTGCTCTGTTGCCTTTTAATTTCTTTTCCTTTGGATAATGCATGTCATATGTTTTTCTTTTCGTACTCGTTCCCCTTTGTCCATGCTTTCAGAAAAACTATTTGGTGTTGCTCATGTCAGATCTTAATGCATTAGATCTGGTTGTTTAATAAGTCACTAGATGACTGACTAATATTATAAAGCAGTTTTGCTAATATGGTTAAGTTACAGTGTGCATGATTTGAATGAGGAGTCCTTCAACCTTTGGCAGTTAATTGCCTTGGGACCATGTTTTCACAAACTTAAAATCTGGGAAAAATATTAGTGAGAAAACAAGTCAAAAAGAATCGATTTGCCCAAGTCCTTTTTGCTTTACTTTAAATACTGTATCAGTGAGTAGTCTGCAAAGATAAATGAGTCCCACAAAGGAAAATGTTGTTATAAGTAACTTGAACAATACATATTTATGCCAAATGGATATGTTTGCCAAAGACACTAGTTGAATTGAGTGAAACATCTTTAATTCAGTTACAAAAATTAAATATGTACTTTAATTTACAAATATTTTATTCCCATTGCCTATTCTTGCTGTCTTGTTCACCTTTACATCTCCTAAGACCTGTTTCATTGCATAACCGAATATTTTTCAGTTTTAAGGCCGAACTTGATTTACTCAGTGGCTCCAGTGTTTGAAAGCTCATTAATAAACTTCACAAATATTTTTTTCAATTTTTTTGCATTGCTTGACATTGTATTGTGAAAGATCCTTCGTGTTTTTTGAGCATTATACACACAAGAATTAGTCAAGTAAAATATTCACTCTGAACCCAGTACGGAGTGAAAGAATGCAGGAAAAACAAGTTATCAGATTTGTTTTGTGTGCACACAAGATAGAAATGTAGCTTGTCAGCAGCAAGGTTGCACCACTGTTTACAGGTATGTGGATAGACTGAGTGACGAAAGATCAAATGAAGAAAGAGAGAATCCTTTTTGGTGTGTTTGTCTTGTCTCTTCCTTACTGTGTGTTATTCTGACCACCAGGGGCAGGCCTCTGCAAAACGGCAAGGAAAGTTTAAAAAGGTACTGGATGAGCTAGAAACACTGTACAACAGAGCGTTCACTGCTCTCATCAGGAAATGGCTTGGTCCTTTCATTAAGATGGGGATTTGTTACATCTGCATTAATCATGTAAATATTGCTGTATTGAAATATACAAGTCTAGTCATAATGGGTATGTATTTTGAAAAAGAATATTTAAAGTTTTCTGGTGGTCAGTAAAATTACAAATCTTTAATATCAACATGAGTTGATAAAGAACACCACTTTAAACTTGTAAAACTGGGTTTTTTTTTTCTGAACTCATTTAAAAAGAGAAGCAGAAGGAGTTTGGCATAAGTAGGAAGAGCTTGAGAATTTGGGTGTTGCTGATTCGGAGTAGTAAGAGGTCTTGGATTTTGTTGAATGCGTCCTTTAAGGGGTTATTGACTAAACTGTTTTTTGTGTTCATACAGGATATTGTTCCAGTCATCTACCATTTAATTCCTGCTCCCAACAAAACAAAGAATGGAGGGAACGAGAAGGACAAGGATGGAGACAAAGAGAAAGACGTGAAGGAAGAGTTTGCAGAAGCCATGAGAGACTTGAAGATTCAGTGGATGACAAAGTGTGCACAGTTTCTGTTTTGTCACTTGCTTTGCCCCTGTTTTTTCCGTTTTTCTCTCAGCCATTTGTCCTGTCCTCTCTTTGCTGTTCAGGTTGGACTCCAGCTCCATCTATGATGAACTGATGGAAAATTACTCAGATTACCTTCCACTACATGTACAAAGGCTGCACCAGCTGGACTCAGAAAAGGTACAAATACACACCAGAAAGCAGAATGAGAGATGGAAGGACCTCTGTCAGGATTCAGGATTTTTTCCAGATGTTGGAGTTTAAACCACGTGACTCTCACTGCTCACAGTCTGTTTACCTGTTTGTTTTTAGGAGCGTGTAAAACGTCTAAGGGAAGTGGTATCAGCAGCTGACATCGTCATCTCCCACATCGACCAGACGGCTTTGGCTGTTTACTTCTCCATGAAGACAGACCCTCGGCCTGATGCTGCTTCTATCAAGGCGTATGTCACCCTGAAGAATACTACTGATAGTAGAGATATGAACATCATTAGAATCCTTCATCAAGGCACACTCAGTTGATAGGAAAGTGACAAGTAGCACAGCAGAAAAAGAGGGTTAACCACACAGTCACCCTTGAAAAGCATACACAACTGCAGACTTGTGACTTCTTTAACAATATCTACAGTTATCTATGAAAGTGGCTGCTGTTGAGTTTGTGATCTCGCTGCAGCCAGTGGACACACAGACAACACGCAGTGGCTGCTGTTGGCCAAAGATTGTTTGAGGTTAAGGGGCATCACTCTGTAACACCACTGAATAATCGGTGAACTGGGTGCTTCTCTGTCGTTCCAACAACTCCAACAAAGTGAGACATCTTCACAGATAAAACTATCCACTGATCTCGCATCAATGATGGAAATGTAGTACATTCTGTGTGCATGCAAGTGGTTATGAAGATCCATCATCTGTTCATCTGCTACATTAAATATTACATAACTTTCATTAGCTTTTAGCTTCTTTTTTTTTACCAAAAGTACTGCCAGATTGGAGTTAGTTGTGGAGTTAGTTTGCTGAGTATGTAACTCCTTTTTACTTTTGTTAGTTACATTACATTTTAGTATGCACCTGTATCCAGTAATGGTCAGTTCTGGCCACTGTTCATCATAAGTTACATAGTCTCATTTTAAATATATGTGAAACACCTCTGCTCTTTTCCCCTAAAGCTTCTTTTTTTTCACAGAAGTGTTTTTGTGGTTACTGTTTCAGGTGAGGTGGACAAACCTTGGCTAGAAAACACTAAGAAACCCCAAGTAGAACATCCCAGCAAAGCCTCTGGACTGCTGAACATCAAGGCTTTTATTTTGACCTGCCATACTGTCTGTGTTTCAGTGACATGGAGAAACAGAAGTCGTCTCTGCTGGACGCTCTGAGCAGGAAGGGCTGCGCTCTGGCTGACCAGCTCCTGCTGCCCCCTGCACCACAAGAGGGTGCCAGTGCTGTCACTGCAGGAGAAGCAGCAGCAGTGGAGGCTGGGGAGCATGTGGCCAGCAGTTCTGACGACACCCTCCACAATGTGGCTAAAGCCTTGATGGATACCTTTTGGGAGGTGCAGAAGTGGGCAGAATTAACTGATTCCAAGGTGAGCAAAATGTTTTAGAAGGTTAAGGAAAGGCCAACATTGTTCCACTCTAATGGAGGACAGTTAAGTTACTGTAGCTAACTGTGAACATACCTGCCATGTAAGACTACAGGATAAGGATAAGGGTATTCTGTATTTTCATTATACTCAAATTATCAAACAAAACCCATGAAAAAACGAGAACTGGTGTTTTACTCCATCTCAGTATTTTGTCTGAAGATACAGATGTTTATACAACAAGTCTTGAATATATCATTTTATTTTTAAAAAATATAGTTTACTAAGACAACTGGGCACTGGTGGTTTAAGCAAATGTTACTTAACATGACTGAGTTGAGGCCTATTGTCACCTGCTGGTTTATACACACTTCGTGTGTGTGTGTGTGTGTGTGTGTGTGTGTGTTTATGACAGGAGAGCAGTGTATGTGAGATTGAGCTAAAAGTAACCATGGAGGAAGCTCTCACCTACTGTAACAGTGTGACTCAGGAATGTGTTTTTAAGCCATGTCAGGCTTCAGCTACACAGACAATACATGTTGGAATCAGGTCATTGCTGGTTGACCTTTTCATGGGTTTTGTTGACCATTACAAAATATAGTATATCACCAGACAATGTAGGGGGTGTTCTCATGCCCTTACTTTGTGAAGTGCTGCTGAAGTGCTCTTAACATTGTTTAACCTGACATGATTTGCTTTCCTGTGGTTTCACTGCTGAAAATGTGGATTTGGAGGATGTGCTGTATGTTGTCATGATTAATTCAGTAAAGGTTAATTAAGCTAATATACAATATTTTATTTATCTTCTGTCTTTTTCCATTGCTCAGGTTTTGATGTTTGCATATAAGCATGCTCTAGTGAACAAGATGTATGGACGAGCCTTAAAATATGCCTCGAAGATGGTGGAGGAGAAGCCCAGCAAGGAGAACATGAAGAATTGCATCCAGGTATGAGCAGAGAAGCCTGAGAAGATTAGATATTTTGACTGCTTGCTTTCCAAAAGCTGAGCAGAATAATTTCATACATTTGTGATCGAACCAGTGTTAGTTTTGTTCACTGGAATCATTTCCTGTTTGTTTTTCAGCTCATGCGACACCTCCAGTGGACACACTGTGCCATCTTCAGTGAGAACTGGCTCCCTGTCATGTACCCTCCAGACTACACACCGTTCTAGGACACGCACGCACACGAGTCATATGACTATATATGATCCATCACATGGTAACTTGGATATCATGTCCCTCAGGGTCACATGGTCTATGCATCAGACCTACCAGCCGCCTCCAGAGATTTTCAATAGCTCTTCAGATTTAGATGTAGGTGAACACCAAAATGAAGTCTACATGGTTTGATGCACTTGACAGTTCTTGTTCATCCTATGGTGATATCATTTTCTTTCAAAATTAGTTGAAATTTGTGTAACTCTTGCCAAGGCTTGTTAATACAGTAACTCTGAATATTATTTTTTTCGGGGGAAGTTTTTTTCATCTGTATAGATGACACCTTCTTTTTGGTGTCATCTATACATTTGATACATTTGGAGGCTTTCACATTCACCTACTTGCTTCACCTGTCGGGACTCCATATCATAGAAATAACCCATAACCTCTCTTGTGTAAATATTGTAAATGGGCCAGCGTGGAATCCACAGTTGCATATAAAGTCTTTAAAAACATAACTGTGACCACATCTGCTCACTTTCAAAGAGACAACACAATGATACTTCTGTGAGAAGACAGGAGGGACTTACTGCTGCACAATGTTTGGACATAAGAGGGCACACTGAGTCTGCCTGGGCAGGCTAGGACAGAACAACTTGTTTTATTTTTTGGGGGGATTGTTTTATCCGGGTCGATAAATAAAGTGTTTAGTCTTGTCTGTCTTTGTAGGCTGTGACTCGTGAGCACATTCTCAGAAGACAAAACAGTGTTGCGGTGCCTTTCTTACCTTTTTCTGATGGGATGAAAGATGAAGTGTGATCATTTTAACCACAGGAAGCTGCAGCATTAGTAGCATCATTTCCCTCATCAACCTTTGGTGTCAAGTGTGGGTTAAAACTCATGTCAACAATGAACACAGGCCGTTGGAGACTTGTTAGGAAATAGGAAGCCACCTTTGTGCTTTCTGGGCTTCTCCTGACCTGCAGAGGTCACCCCACTTTATACTGCACATACTTGTACAGCACATCTGATGACCGTCTAACAGACCTCATTAAGTTGACAGCAGATACAGCTGTGAGCAGCAGTAGGATATTCAGTTCACATTTTATTGAAAATGTTAACAGTATTAGAGACATTTCTCAGCAGCATTCAGACTGTTGCATTTGTACACAATGTCATAAAATACTGTACATACACAATATTAAGATGCAATAGGTATATAATACAAATATTCTAATTGATGTATTTTGCATATATGCATGTCTTCTAGGATGTAAGGAAAAAAGTAGTTTTACTTGGAAGCAGATTTTAGTTTGTTTCAATTTGAAAGATTTTTAATCTTAAACTGACTGTTGTTTGTGAATGATTTTATGTGGACTCGTGAACACCTTTGGGGTACATGAACAGAAAAAATGACAACCATTTAGAAGGGGGTCAGGCATGATTGTTTTGTTTTTGTTTTTTTTTTTCAAATAACTTGTTCATTTTAAGGGACCATGCCAGTGCTTTTCTATCTGAATTACTACAAATCATATATACATTACATCACAGCTAACCAATTAGCATTCTAAGTTCATTTAGATTTTTGGGTGCATTTTTCCACCAAACATTTTTTTTTTTAATTTGAGTTATATAAACACCAAGTCTACATTAAAGGGCCTGACACCCAGATTTTGCAATAATCCTTTACAACAAACAACTTTCTGGCAAAGTTGGAACAGTTTTTGTCATTGCACCAGAGACCTATCTATGCTGTTTTAACTGAGCTCTTAGCGCTGGTTTGAGGCGGCATAGACTGCACACAAATCAGGATTTGGCAATAATTTAATCAAAATCAGGTGGTAGTTGGTGGATTGTTCCCTCACTGTCAGTCAAATCACACTCGCACAGTCCAGTCCAGTCCAGTTTAAGTAAAAAAAAATCATAGAATGGTAGGAAAGATGCATCTGAAAATACACAACATACATTTTCAAATGTTCAGAAAAAATGGCAGGCATTTAATTTTGAGTTGCATTGTTAAAATTCACAAGAACACTGGTGTGGTCCTTTAAATATGTCAAATGTGTCACCTGACTCAAAAGGAGATGTTTTGACTTTCTTTCTTAGTTTGTATTTTTTTTTCCTCCATAGTGATGGTGCGAAACAGAGCCATGCTAAACTTACAAAGTACATTCTCAATTTTCCTCTTTTTATTGGTGATTCTCAGCCTTGTTTGCTTATAAATTTGGAAACAAAAAGTACGATATCATGTCACAGATTGTAGTATTGTCGATTTAACCAAAGAATCATTTTCCCATGTTGTTGGTCTAATTGTTAAATGAAATATGAGTTGAAGATGATTTTAACAGAAAAAAAATTCAAATTATGAAATTGGATCTAGCAATATTTAGTAGAAGGAAAATGGCTGTTCTAGATATAATTGCTTTAATTTATGATGCTCACAAGTGGAAGGTGCATGCTTAAGAATGTAAAAGCAGCTGCTTTCAAGCCACGGCCTTTCATCCTCATGGGAGTAAATCTTTTCTGGAATGACTACATACATGGTGACTTAGGTTTCTTGTATGCACTTTCTGTAGGGGCCTCAGCACAGGCTTCATCAAGTGCAAAGGGATTCACAGTTGGGGTTGGTTTTTGACAGAATTTGTGTTCTTTACTTTTTCATCCTCTTTTCTCTTGCTCCTCTGTTCTTTTTCCTCCTCTCTCCTGTGTTTAAGTTTTGGTTCAGATGATACGTTCATAGCTCAGCTGGTCACATTATGCGTTGCCAATGACAGTCTCTCCGAAAATGGCCTTAATTTTCACCACAAGGACTGTAATGTCCATTTCTGGTACAAGAAATCTCATATTTGTGGTTCTCACTCTGTTGGTGTCGGGACAGACTTCAGAAATGCTTCTTCTGGATGTTGAGTGTTTATATTTCTAGTCATACAATTTAGTAAATGCCAATATTTTACAGAATGTTTTGAGATAATGTTGTATGCTCTTATATGCGCATATTATTTTATACCCATTCTTCCTCGATGATGTGGGAAAGGGATCTGAGCTGCTCTCACTATTCTGTGGTCACATGGAATTAAGTCACAAACATGGAACCTGACACTGAATAAAAATGATTTGGAGGAATGAAGGTGTTGGCTGGTTAACACTTGTACACAGAAGAGAACAGCTAATTAGATTTGAAAAAGTTGAGATAATGGAGTTCCCTTCAAATTTTTACTACTGTATTAAACAAAATGTAAACAACAAAAAAAAGTGATGCAGACACACTGAGATAGGGCTAAACATAACTACTTTCATTATTGATCAGTCTGCTGATTATTTAGTATACAGTTGATCAATTTGTCTATAAAACTCAAAAATGATCTACTATTCATTTCACTTCTACACTAATATGATTGTAATGAGCAACTTCTCAGGCTAATTTGGTATCACACCTGGTTCACACAGAGTTAAAAAAAAAAAAGCTCACCAGTAGCTTAAACAGGAACAGTGGCACTAAATTTTTTATGGCTCACATTACTGCAGTGCTCTCTTTCTGTTTGTTGCATGAAACCTTTAATGTATAGTGGTCACTACAGTGGAAAGACGTTTTCTTGTACAGTATGTGCATGGATTTTGATTGTGTAGTTGCATATCACCCACTACAGAGGATGTTGGTGTGTCATCCCATACTAGTCAGCTACTGATAAGTAGAACAGTAATTTCTCAAACCCAGGATGAGTGACCCCTCTGACAGAGGCCTTTTGACTTTTAAACTAGAAATGTTAAAACTCACATCGGAAATCTCTTTCACCCTCTGCAGGTTGCCATGAAGATCTTCATGTCTCCATCATCAGACAGCAAACTTGTGTGAAAGGCCTTTTTAAACTTCTCAATGAAAGTCAGATCAGACTCAAGCCTGACCTTGTTGGCCCAGATCAAAATCGTTCCTGGCTTACAGAAATGTTTCATGGTGGCCAGGAGCTCGTCTAAGAAGTCGTGATGGTAGACCACGTCACTTGCCAGCACATAGTCGTACCGATAGATGGATGTAGGGTAGGTGCAATCCAGGTCAAAGCTCCAGGACAGAGGTGCCACCTGGGGCATGTGTCTGCAGCGCCTCCGGGTGTTCCTCATCAAATTAGCCCTAAGGTTACTTAACACCACCGGTAAGTCTGTGGCTGTGACTGAAGCTCCTGAGGATGCAGAAACATGATGTGCATAATCATTAGCACAATAACACCTAAACAGCGCTCAGAGAGCACAAACCTCCACAAAGGCAGCTCAGCTTCCCCATAATGGTAAATGGTAGCCATTAAAAAAATCCAGTGCAGTAATGTAGTACAGAATCAAAGATATAGCAGTATAAAGTAGTAGTACAGTACAATACATAACATATGAAGTAGTAGTAGTTGACATCCTTTGTGTCATTGTCACTTGAGTGACTACTCACCCAGCAAACTGGCCACAATCGCTACCAGTCCTGTTCCTGCTCCCAGCTCCAGCACTGTCTTCCCCTGCAGGTTCATCGTCTCTCTGTTGTTGTCCAGGAAGAAGCACAGAGCCAGTGCCTGCATGTTAAAGAACACCAGCAGGAAAACAATTATGCTGCTGAGGTAAGATATTAAGATAAATGAGGCTTGTAGCAATTTGTCATTTAAATGAATGCTTGACTGATTTCAGAAATACTCACCGCTGGCCACATTACTGCTCCATAGGTATCTATGGATTCATAAATGATGATGTCCTGCCCTACATAATGGTAGACATCTTTAATCAGGGTGCTAATGACATGCGGAACCCAGGCTGGTGCTCTGTCCTCTTGTGCAGATGTTTGTCTCATAGATGCCTGTCCTGTGGACAGAAATAGTAAACAGATGTGTTTCCAGGCTGAATCAAACACAGCCAAATGACACAAGCCATAACACTTTGTATGCTAACCAAATCACCTCACTGACATGGAAACAAGAGCCCCTGCCTAACTCCCTTTTAAGTTCAGACACTGGCCATCAGTGGACAGAGTATATCACTCTTGTGGTTTCATTGAGGACAGTTCTGAGTTGACCCCATTTAATTCTTGCCACTAACCTTGTGTTGCAAGATACAGGTTAACTGTTTAATAACAGCAGGTAAGGCAGTGTTCTAGTTGAGTCGAGTCCAAGTTGTCTCAAGTCCCCAGTGTATAATCAATGGTTTAATCATTACAGCAGATATTTCAAAATGTGAGCAAATAATAATGGGGGGGGGGGGGGGGGCATTCATGTGTAAATTTAAATTTATTTTTTAAAATTTTTTTTTGCAGTATAGGTGAGCTGGCCCTTTAAATGGACTTTGAAGTATAACTCTAATAATAAGCACATATGTTTGATGCATACTGTATGTTGATATGCAAATGTGCCTTTTCACAGATCATGTAGATGGCTCACCTGTAATATCTTCACCACTGGTTGTGGTTCTGCAACTTGAATCATTGTTCTCCGGTTTATTCTTCTCATTCTCTTTACAGTCATCTTTGAGGATCACTATGTCCCCCATGTCTTCCTCTTCACCACACTTAAACTCATTGTTTTCTTTCTTATATTCTCCTATTTCAGCCTCTAACATACAAGGTTCCTCTGTTACATTATAATTTTCTTTTCCTTTACCGTTTTCTCTATTGACCTCATGAAGCACATTCCCTTTGTGTTTTTCCTCCACAAGCCTGTCTTTGTTTTTCTTGTCTTTAGCACCCTCACTCTCTCTCAATAGATCTTCTCTACAAATTGCCATGAAAATCTTTACGTCTCCATCATCAGACAGCAAACTTGTGTGAAAGGCCTTTTTAAACCTCTCAGTGAAAGTCAGATCAGACTCAAGCCTGGCCTTGCTGGCCCAGATCACAGTCGTTCCTGGTTTGCAGAAATGCTTCATGGTGGCCAGGAGCTCGTCTAAGGAGTTGTGATGGTAGACCACGTCACTTGCCAGCACATAGTCGTACTGATAGATGGATGTAGGGTAGGTGCAATCCAGGTTGTAGTCCCAGGACAGAGGTGCCACCTGTGGTGTATGTCTGCAGCGCCCCCTAGTGTTCCTGCTCAGGTTGACTCTCAGGTTGTTCAGGACTTCTGGAAGGTCTGTAGCTGTCACCCAAGCCCCTGAGGACAGTGAGACATTTAGTCCAATGTAACCTCTCAGGTCTACATGGATGGATTTCAGGGGGAAAAAAGGGGCACCTGAGCACAGACAGAAGGGCCCCCACCCCTCCTAGTGTACATAGGAGCAAGACACCCAGAAATGGAAGTGTCATTTTGTCTGGTAGTTGTTTTTCTATTTGTTATTTTGTCTATTTGTAATCATTTAGCATCTCTTTGTTGTTATTTTGTAACTTGTAGTTGTTTTGAATCCTTTGTGGTTATGTGTCTTTGTAGTCATGTAGTCAAAAATAATCTTGACAGTCATTTCAAAAAGGAGCCCTGACCTCTTAGGCCCCTTGGCCTGTGCCTTGGAATGTCAGCTCAGTAATCCATCCATGCAGGTATGTGTCTCTGAGAAAAGGTTCATGTTGCTATATTCTCACATACCGAGGAGTGCTGCTACAACAGACACAAGGCCTGTTCCTGCTCCAATCTCCAGGACCGCTTTGTCCACAAGATTCAGCTGTTCACGATGAGTGTCAAGGTAGTGACAGAGGGCTGAAGCCTGTGGGAAATTAATGTTATTGTTATAGCTTTATTACAAAAATCAGTTGCGATAAAGATTCTGTTCTGACCAAGAGAATAATGTTTCTTGACCAGTGGTCGCATCAGGGCTGTTCTTCAAAATAGTGTAATGAGACACTCAAATCTGCCACTTTGTGGCAGTTACTGTAAATCAATGTAAGGTTCCAAATCTTAAAAACAGTGATACTCACTGGCCATGTCATGTCTGCACAGGAGTCCAGAGCCCCTTCGATGATGATCTCCTGCCCAGCATAATAGTAGACCTTTTTATCTGTTTTGTAGAAGAAACATGGAGCACAGGCCAGTCTTTGCTGCATTTCAATGGTCGATTCCTCATTATGTGAATCATCTAAATAATATATAAGTCAGACACTCATTTGTATTCTGACTTAAACACCCACAGTGCTTCATCTGACCTTTTTCCACATCTTTTTCTTCTTCATCACCCTCCTCCCCCTTATCTTCCTCCTCTCCGCTTCTCATCCAACTGGTTTCCTTCATAAGGTTTGTGGACAAATTATCCATGTAAAATGCTATGTCGAACAAACTTATATTATTATTGGGCCTGTAAAAATAGAGAAAATGTGAAATAGTCATTAAAAATAAGAAGAGAAGGGCATATACGTACATGATTATATACAATATTGTAGCCTTTCTCGCCATTGTTGTGCTGAGTTTATATAATTACTTATTTTTTTAACAAATGTATCTACAGCTCTACAGTCTGACTACCTAAATAGGCAACATGTCTGGGAGAACACATGCCTCCAGCGTGCAACAATAAGTATGTGAAAACGACATTTTTCTTTTTTTTAAAGATTCATTTTAGTCAGAAAAAATGAGGGACAATAATATACTACCTAAATTTACATTAAAAAGTTCCCTATACAAGTAGTCCCCCGCTAACTTATGCAAATATAGTGAAACTTCATGTTCAAGCACCCTACCTGCTGCTGCTTTATTTTCCGGTGACAGATCTCAGGAGCAATGTGACTGCATCTGGAGACCTCTGACCGTGAGCTTATAGAGATTCAGCATCCTGTTGGACACACCCATCATCATCACAAGGACATGAGGGTATTTTTAGCAACATGCTCATGGGATATAAACACAAGTGTTTTGCACATAGATACAAACAGTCACCCACCCACTCACACACACGTACGCACCCCCAACAACAAAGATTAGCTGGTGAGGGAGCTAAAAGCAGAGAGAGAATGACAGGAATGATACCAATAGGCATACATCTTTATTTCCAGTAACACTTATGGACTTATTTGCTGGTGCTTTCCAGAAGTCTCGGTGGTCTATACCCTCACATTAATCCTGTAAATCTGGCTTTTATCCTAACGCTACTGAATTATTTCCTACTGCAGTGATCAGATTTGGCATTAACTCAGGGTTGAACTCAGTCCAGATCCTGCACATTACAACAGTTTTACTTAATAGATAAACCTCCCTGAAAACCAGGGCAATTTTACATTTTAAATTGTGTTAAATTTGTGTTACTTCTTTTCTTCTAAAGATGAGAAGAACCTGTAGTCTGTAGTCTTCCATGTTGCTCACATTTTCTGCAATGGCCTCAATTGCTTCACCAGAGATGGAAGGTAACAGGATCTGGCTGCCATGCAGCCCTCATATATCACCCCCCCAAGAAAAGAAGGGGGCTCCTGCCACATAAATTTCAATCAGATTTCCCTCAGGTACACTTTAACAGACTCTGACCGTGAAGTATGCATTACACACAGTTTCAGATATCATCCAATTAAATGTACTCACAAAATGCCAAATCCATCCAGGAAGCTTTGGCACATTAATTGGCAGTGGACATTGGTGAGGTCAATGCCCGGCTGTGTTGCTGATGTGGAGCCGTCTTATTTGTATAAAGCATTTTTAAGCTTGATGACAGACATTGAGACAGGTACCGTCTCTCAGTGAAAGGCCATGTGTGGAACGGAAGCAGAGTCTGCTCGTTTCATTTGAACCACTGAAAGCACTGTCGTCATTGTAACCAGATCCATTGTAAACAGCTCTAGTGCAACTGCCAATATTTCCCTCCATTAAATATGCAATAGTTTTTCTCAAAAAACTCAGCCATGACCCTCTTAATTTTTTAAATGTTGGTCTGATCTCCAAAGGACCTTTTCTATGGCTAACTTTAAATTTTCTTGGTAAAGCTGATTTCATGTATAAATAATTATATTTGAAAAAAAAATTCAGTCAGGCTTTTGCACTCACCATGGCAATGAAACAGTCATCAAAGTAACTAACAATCTCTGCAGACGCAGCTTTTGACCTGGTAATTCATTCAGTTTTCTTGGACTGCCTTGAAAAAGACAGACAAAGGGGTTGGCCTCACAAATGTTGCCTTGACTTGTTTGATTCTTACTTGTCAAACTCTCTTAATTGTTGGTGATGGTTCTTCACCTGTGGCCCCTCAGATCTATGGTTCTTAAAGACTCCGTCCTTCCATCCATCCATTTTCTATACCGCTTAGTCCCAAATGGGGTCACGGGGGGCTGGAGCCAATCCCAGCCAGCTGTGGGCGAGAGGCAGGGTACACCCTGGACAGGTTGCCAGTCCATCACAGGGCTAACACGCAGACAAACAACCACTCACATACAATCACTCCTACGGGCAATTTAGAGACACCAATCAACCTATGCCGCATGTCTTTGGACTGTGGGAGGATTTTCTATTTATGTACTTCCACTAGACGACATTATTAGCAAACAAAGCATTGATTATTATTTATTATAGTTTTTGGCAATGACTTTTCTGTCTTCCAAATAAGGAGCACTTATAGAGCCAGGTTCTTTCTTTGTCATTCTGATCATCAAATGTTCATACTGTACATGGCTTTGTATATCAAGAGGTTTGAATTTCTGCAATTTACTGTATTCATGGGTAAGCCAAAAATCACTGCCGGGTCTTTGGTTAGTACGAAATGCTGCTTCTGCTCCTGAGGGTGTTTTGCTGATGCAACATTACAGATTTTCTGCCCTGTTTTTGGTCTCTACCAGCTCCTGAGGGAATCATCTGGTTATTTAGGTGCTACAGTAAATGCTCCTTTATGTTCACCAGCTAATCTCTAACTGCCTGTCTGCTGTCAAAACAGTAAAACAGGATGGGCAGCTAATCAATGAGCTTAAACTCACAATAAAGCTCCATAAAGTTGAGCTGAAGTGCAGATTTGAGTGATAACTCTGCAGATTCATAAGTAAAAGTATTGACTTCAATTATATATCAGATAACTGTTAGGTTTGCCCGGCTGCACCTTCCTCTCTTCTCTCTTTCTCGCCCTAGTTAGCTCCCTCACACTGATTATTTTGATTAGACACACCTGCCCTGATTTTCCGACACTCTTCAGCTGTGCCTCCTTTTGTCTCACTCCTTATTTATACTCAGCTTACCCATTACTCCCCTGCTAGTTCTTTTTCTGTCGTCAGCTCTCCCTTAGAGTAGTGTTTTTTTTGCTTATTTCTCATTGTTCTACGTATGTTGTATATTCCTAGCCTCTCTCTTCACCTTTTGGACTTCTCCTCTGGATCCTGGCACCCTCAGCTCCACCAGCCACCATCACAGGTCGATGCACAGTCTCCACATTAACTGACTCCTCTTGTTACCTCCTCAGTCTACCGGATCTCCAACCCGACCAGCCCAGGAGTGATTCCAACCCCTGCAGCCCGGCCCATCATCATCACTCCAATAACTCCGACCACTGCTGATCGACACCCGGTCATATTCATACCTTCATTTTGTATGTATATATATTTGCACTATTTTAGCACTGTTAAATAAAATCACTACTTGCACCGAAGCCAGCCGCCTGGGTCTGCTGATTTCACCGCTCGCTCACATTTGTGTCGAGTGATCCTAACAATAACAAAATCTTTGGGTAAATAGAAAATGGCAAAACTGAGGAAATTCTGGCCTAATGGTAGCACGAGAAGACGGGCTGTATGGTTACTTAAATCCAAAAGAATGTATCCTCTCTGCAGTGTCCATTTTAGGACATCTCACTCTTTGCTGGTCAGGCTCAGCTCTACTTTGTCAGACCTGGCTAAATGGTCACCATCCTTAAGTACTTGGATGCTTATCTGTGCTTTCTTCTGGCTGATATTGACATCAACAGGTTAACAGTTCAGTCATTCATAGTCCCAGGAGGATTCAGCTTAAGAGAACCATAAGTCATTGATGAAACTGGCATCTGATTGTATTATGAAGGCACATAGCAACAGGCCTCCTAAATAAAATCCAGAAGGTATTTGTAAACCCTTTGGAAAAATCCAGAGCCAGGTTTGCCCACATCATCTGACAAAAACAGCACTGACTTGGCTGTCAGTTTTGTTGTTTTGATCAAGTATGAGAGCATGCTGCAGATGGATGACCACCAGTTAAAAAAAAAATAAAATAACACAATGTGATCCTCCAGGGGTGGTTCTTGAATCACGGGACAGCTGATATTTTGAAATAAAGATATGTCAGACTAATAAAAGCTGCAATTTAGAAGAGACAGTAAGACATTTGTACATGAGACACAAGAATACTTTATGGATTTACACACTTGACATAACCTCTTAAGTAATACATTCAGAAAGACCATTTACAAATTTGACCCACTTCAGCAGTCGCAGGCACACTCACACAAACACCCACCCATTTAAGAGTGGTCTGTCTGTCTAACAGCTCAGGCAGCAGCCTGTCCTTGGCCCTTGCTCTTCTCGTCCTTCCTCCAGGCATGATACAGTTTGATACTTAGACTAGGTAGGTCATACAGCTCCTCTAGGTGAAAATGTTGCTGGAAACGATTCACAAAGCTGTTCTCTGGGTCCAGGCGGAAACGCATTGCCCAAAGGATCTGTGTGTTTTTCTGGCACAGATGGTCAAAGGTGTCCATTAGCTCATCCAGGTAAGGGTGGGCGTATACCACATCAGCTGCCAGGATGTAGTCAAAACAATGTGTGGCATGTGGGAAGCGTTGCTCCACCTCCTGACCCCAGGTGAGTTCAGTGACCTGGAAAGAGTTGATTTTAGGTTTATTTATATAGTAGTAAACCAGTATGTTGTTCCCCTAAATTTCAAATGGTTTTTAAAAGGAAAATTCTACTACTGAATACTCTTAGTGTTTTGGCCCCTCAACCTTTGATTGTTGGAATTATCATGAAACCGCATAAGAGATTCTACATTTGGTCACCAAGAAGAACATATTGCTGATGGTTGCTGTTTGAACAGTACTTTGGCTGGATTTTTTAATATATCTGGACATATTTCATGTCATAAACAAGTTTAAAAAACCTACCAGGGGGATGTATTTGCATCGTCCCTTGGTGTTGCGTGTAACGTTGTACTGGAGGTTCCCCAACACATCTGGTAGATCGGTGGCGGTCACCTTAGCACCTGGAGAGAAACAGTGCAGCCGACTGTTAAAGTGAATACAAACAAACAACAATAGCTTGCAACAAGCTCAAACTGCCAAAGCTGATAACTGGATTGGTTTGTTTCCATACCTAAAAGGCTGGATACAATAGTGACTAGCCCAGTTCCTGCACCAAGTTCAATCACGTTTTTGTCTGTCAGGTTGTATTTGTCTTTGTTGGTCTCTAGGAAATGACACAACACCATAGCCTGTTGGAGGATACAAGGTTATAATTGACTGGCAGGGCTCAACTCTTTGTGAATATACTGTAAAGTACTCATGCATATGACTGTGAGTACCGATGGCCAGAGTACAGCGCCATAAAGGTCTGTGGACTCTCTGATACGGATCTCCAGGTCAGAAAAGATGTATCCCTCCCATGTTTCTGGGCCAATGACAGAGGCATGGAAACGTCGAGCCATTATTGCTGTTGTTAGCTCTGCGTCCACAGCAGCACCTTTTAGATCCACAGGAGAGAGGTACAGTACAATTAAATCAATTTAAGTTTATACAAGGCTTTTCTAAATGTAGTTTGTGTGATAGGCTGCTGTGGAAAATGTAAAACCAAGAACACACACAAGACAGATAAATATATATATTTTTTTTAATTTAATGAATTAACTCCAACCTAAAACCAAGCAGATGAGTAGACCTTTTTTTCCTTTCATATCACATTACAGTAACGTTTGATTCTCTATAAATGAATCACATGTGGGATCATAAGGCTTCACTGATCCTGTTGCATTGTTTGTGCCATACCAGCGTGTTGGACAGGTATGTGAGTGAGCTAATGTCTATTCACACATCTGACATACAACTTAAGTTATGTAACACTGGTTTGGTGAAAAGGTCAGGGGAACCCAGGGAGTGACAACAGAAAGGTTGAGTGAGGTCGGAAAACACTCAATTCACAGCTTTTGTGTGTATAAATATTGCTCTGAAAGTTGTCATCAACATGCAATCCTTTGCAGGATTAAATATTGCAACACAACCATGTGTCTTGCAAGCCCTGACATTAGATTTATACTCTGTTGGTTTATGGGATTGAACTTTAACAATGCATGCATAAACCGGAGTAACCTTGTTTCAGAAAACTTAAAATGCTGCCACACTGCTAGCACCATCCAATGCCTATGAAACAACAAAGAAACATTGTTTCATGTTGTTCATTACTGCAAATTCTCACCTTCTTGTTTGGTCTTTGAGTTCTCCATGGCTTTGGACTGTGGAGTCTCTATGCGTGATGGGGTGAAGAAGGAGGGCATGTACACCCAAAACAAAATGCCGCCAATTCCGCTCTTTGTTTGTGGGCCAGATGATGTCTTTTTGGATTTAGGTCAGTCTTTATCCAGATCTTCAGCAGCCTGTTAGCACATCTCCTTCTATAGTTTTAAGTTACACACAAATACAACAGTGCTTTCCAACTACTTGTCCAACATTTCCAGCTCTCTCCGATGCAGTAAAACTGACTGACAGCGACAGCTGTTGTGCCAGGCTGCTGAGCTGGAGGTGAAGAGGGAAGAGGAGGAGCAATACGTTTTCTAATCAGACCGATAGAAAGAAAAAAATATCCAATTTAACTAACAAGTTCAAACAGAATTTAATGCAGAAATATTAGATTTTTTTCATATGAGCAAAAGTGAATGTGTGTGTATCAGTGTATGCAGAAGTAGAAGGTGGCTGAAATAAGGCCTGAAAGAAATGTGAAAGGGTTACACCTATCTCTGCCTCACATCACCTAAACAAGTCTGAGCCAAACTGACATCTACTGTGGAAAATTTCAAAAAATGTACTTCAAATATTTAATGCATAATATTGTGATTTACTGACAGATTTACCTCTAAACAAGTAAGATATCTTCAGTAACAACAACAGTTTACAAAGTACATATTTAATAACAGAAAAAAAAGCTAAATTCACCACTGTTAATTAGTTCATGATGCAATTACACATTCACAATTCCCATATAAATATCAAATACAGTATCCCAATATTAACATTATAGTTGCTAAGACAATTTATGTTAGGTTCAAAGTTCAGTTAATTTCCCCTCACAACTTCTTGCCCCTTCCCTGTCCTGATGTGCTTCTTCTCCCTCTTGTGCTTTTCACTCTGTGGCCTCGTCGGCTGCTTTCAAACACAGATCGGGCTGTAACCATGGCAACCTCACCGCCACCATCACTGTCCTCACCAGAGCTGCTGCTGTTGCTCTTAGTGACCCTCAGAGGTACAGTCTTGGTAGACTGAGTATCAGCCTTTACTGAGTGGAACTCTTGGCTGGTGCTGCTCGCATCCTTGAGAGATAGTGTAACAGGACATTCAACAATTACCTCTGAAGCCAGAAATCCTCCTCCCACCATAGACCTCTCCTCTTCTTTCTCTGCTCCTCCTTTCTTTGGCTTCTTGCTTGCTGTTTTTCCTTTCTTAGATTTGGATGGGGAATGCATTTCCACCTCACTGTCCTCCTCTTTCTCCTCTCCTCCCTCTCTCTCCTTCCTCTTGAGGCAGGTGACTGCTCGGCGGAGTCGCTGGCTGCGAAGCATCTTCTTTTCCTGTTGCTCCATGCGGAAGAACGAGTCGATCCGAAGCTGAGTCTGAGACAAAACGGGGAGAGTTAATGTATAGCATTAAGAGATGTAAGACTACAAATTGGTTTGAATGTTTTCAGTAAAACTGGAGATATTTAAGAGACAGAAATGCTAAATGTACTAACTAGACAGACTGAAAATGTGACTGTGTTGCAGCCATTTAAACACATATACTGTTAAACCATTACATTTAGCAACAAAAATGTAAATCACCCAATCCATTACTAACTGATCAGGCATAACATTATGACCACCTGTACATATGTATGCACTTCAATGCAACACTTCTGCTTTAACATTTGTGTTTATGAAGCTCAAGATGTTTGAGTTTTTGGTGAGATTGTCATAAATGTATAAATTCAATTATATGTTCATTATTGAGGTCATAGTTAAAGGTGGTATTGTAGTGGACTACATTATATTCAGAGGTGTTCCTAATATTCTGCCCCTCTCATGTATGTCAATGGGCAGGACAACAATATACAGACACCTCTGGCTACTTGGCTCTTTATTTTCCTCCTTAACACAAATACATGGGTATACAGTACTATGTGAAATGTTTTAGGCACTTCAGATGTTTATATTCTTATTCATTAAACAGTACCATCTGGGAACTGTCTGACCAGCTCCCAGATTCATTCTGCAGCATGACAATGTCCCCAAACATACAGATAGTTTTTTATGACTATCTTTAGCAGCAAGAAGAACATGGAATCTTATAAAAGTTGGTGTAGCAGAACCCCGATCTCAATATCAGCGAGTCAGTCTGGGATTACATAAAGCGACAGAAGACACTGATCAGTTCCCCATGATGCTTAGACACCGAAATATCAACTGATTTTGATTTTTTTGTTTACTGCACGTTGATTGAAGTTCAATGACAAATAAAAACCATCAGTGGAACTATTGAGGCATTCTCACTTTACTTTTAGTGCCTAAAACCTTTGCAGAGTGCAAGGATGTATACACAGTATATTTTCTTTTTTTTTTTTTGTTTAATTATTTGAGTTAATTGGATGAGCTTTTTCAAATACCCCTGGCAAGTGCAAAAGTATCCTTTGGGTACAGGTATCCTGGGTTGGGAGTTACCTGCTGGGTGCTGAGCTGTTTAATGACAGGCCGAAGAGTCTCCTCTGTCTTCTGGCTGCTCCAGCCGAAATGACTCAGACAGAAAGTAAAGGATCAGTTAAGGAAACGTCATACACTCATGAACACACAAACACATGTCCTGTAATACAAAGAGAGAGGATATTCTTTAATCATGTCAAGTTGAGGGTGTCCCCAGCTGAATGAGCTGTCTGACTGGTCCACAGCTGGTTCCAAGTAAGCCTGAACCACCGCAGGGTTGGGGAACCCAGGCTGCAGTCGGAGGTCCCTCAGTTTCTTCTTAACCTTTGTGTCCCGAGGATCAGCCACCAGGTGCTTTTTCTCCTGAGCCTCTGACCACCATTTACTAGAGGGAAAAAGCAATAACCAGACATACAACAATAACTTAATAGTAAGAAACTGAAACCTATCATCACTAAAAAGTGCAATCTTTTGGTAAAACTAGTTATTGTAGTATTAAAACCACATTTTAAGATGTGCACTGTATGTTTTTAAACAATAAGATAATTATCATACCATTGTATTAATAATGATTTTAGCCAAAACAGTTACATTTAGACACTGACACATGCCTAAGTTATATACTGAGTTGACATTTATTCATTTCAATTAAACATAGGCAGATATAAAACCCTGGAAATGGAAACTAGCTTTAACACATTTTCCCTGTGTTTGTCAAAACAGAGAGAGAGACTGCAGGGGTTCAGTGTGAAAGACTTCAAAGTTTTGAAAATGAGTCAAATAAAGAAAGATGGAAGCAACTGTAAGCTGAAAGATGAAAGCTACCAACTGGTTGCCCACCCATTCCATAAAAAATATATAGCTTTACTAACACTAACTTTTGAATCACCTGGACAAAGGAACCCAAACAAACACACCTGAATTGTTTAAGGGGCTCCAGCCCTGGTCCTGGGAATTCATTCAGTATCTCCATGCCAGTCACACATCCAACCCCTGGCACGCCCTCTGTGTAGTCACTTCCGAGCAGGTAAGCGAGATTTATCAGTTTAGCTCTGTCAAGACCTGAGGCAGAGAGAGAGAGACAGAGGAGACAGGACAGAAGGTGAAAAGTAAATAAAGGGGTGAAAGAGAGGAGGAGAGTGGTAATAGCCCATCAGTCACCAGCCAAACAAACACCTATCTTTGGTAAGGGCAGTATGAGCTTATCAAAGTCTTGCTGTTGCGTGTTATCACACCACTATTTCAACACCTTCTTCTCAGAAAGAAAACATCACCTTAAGTTGCAACGATATGAACATGAGGAAAAAGTGAATAAGTATGTAGCACTACAGCAGCAAACCTTAGACATTTTTCATTTCATGGATCTTCAAACCTATTAGGTGACTGCATAATGAATAAGACACGAAAAACTGATTGTATTTGAATACCTGAAAAAACAAGCGCACACAGATAACATCAGCTGCTCACCCAGTTGGTTCTGCAGGTCACTGTAGTCGTAGTGTTCAACATATTTGTTCTGGCTGAAGAAATTTTTGTATACATGTCGCCCTCCAAACAGCCACACGTCCGAGTCGTCTGTGATGGTCCCGTGAGTCTGGTCAGCACGGTCGAGTGCTGCACACTGGGCCTCAGCCTCCATCGGAGCCACTAGGAACGGCACACCGAAGAGCTGCAGCAGCTCCTGGAGACAGGAAACAGTCATTAAACCCCATTATATCCGTGGTAACAGCCATTATGGATTACACTCATGTTTCTGTAGTCACAACTGAGAAATTCCTTCACTATTAGCAGCTCATTATCAAAACACCCTGAATAACTGCTTGGGATTAATAAACCCCATGGAGGTTTTATATTAATGGTGATTTTATGAAGGAGAAAATGCTGACAGCTGTGTGAGTGAGTTGGCAGACACATGCTAACACAGACATACGCACACAGACTCTCAGCAAAGATATTGTGAAGTAATACTGAAGCATGTCATGGCTCTGGGAATGTTTGGCGGAGGCACCGCAAAGAAAATGATCCTCCAGTCGGTCTTCCACCTGCTCTGGGTTGTCATATCATATCACAGTGACAGGGTGTGGTGTTTATGTATGTACATGTTGATTTTATTATTACATGTATACGTCTTTGTGACAGATCCTCATAAGTCAACTATTTTCTTAAGGATATCTGTACGCATGTGTTTTTAAATTATATGTTTGATTCACACCTGGCTCTCCAGGCACATCTGTCCAGTGACTGTGTTTGCCATTCTCTCTTGCTGCTGTTTCTGCTCCCTGAGGTTGTTCTGCTCCAGCTGCAGAGAGCTCTCCATAGCCTCCAGCTCATCCTGCAGCACAACATGCAAACAGCCACAGCATCGCATACATTAAACTGTCATTCAGAAACATCTGCAAGCTGCAGCTCTGTGAGATTGTATGTTTACGGTAATTTGGAGGTTTGTCCACTAGAAAGCACTGACATGTTTATTTTTCACCTACAATATAGGGTATCCATCTTGGTAAGCATTACAGAAAGTGTATTCTGTGTTGTCCAATTAACAATCTAGGCCCCCCTATAATGTCAGTTTATTATTACATAAGACAAGGAAAAGTAGAGAATTCTCACATTTGAGGAGCTAAAGCTACAGTATATCAACTTTGCTAGGAAAATGTAATGAATGAACAGTTAGTTAATTTTCTATCACTTAGCTAACTGCTTAATTGAGTAATAGTACTTTAAATACTAACCACTTCCAGGTCTTCCCATTCATTGAATGCTGGAACTGAACTGGATTGTGTTCCCTCCGTCAGCTCTTTCTCTTCAGTCAGCCCTGTTTTGTCCTCTTCTTCCTCTAATTTCCGAGCAGCAGCAGCTGGTGCCTCAGTCCAACTTTCCTCTGGTTTTTCCTTCTTCTTGGTCACATCGTCCTGGACTTCAGTGGGAGATCCTTTCTCTTTAATTATTACAAGTGCATCACTGGCACCCTCCTGTTTAAATTCATCTTCTGAGACCTCAATGAAGCTCTCTGAGAAAGAGAAAAAAAAAACATACAAGTACTGGTTTTAAGCTGCAGCTTTAAGAAAACTATGGATGAGTATAATCTTAAATTGGCTGATTGCTATACCTTCTGACTCGCTTTCCCCACTGTCTTCTGACTTCACACCATCTCCTTTTCTTTGCTCTAGGGCTCTGATGGGCTCATTACTCCTCTGCTCTGGTAGTAAATGATGAGTTTTGGTCTTTCTCTCCGGACTGAGAGGTTTCCCACACAGCTGTGTGTTTTGACTGGAAGCAGTGGCACCCTGTGTTTGGATCAGCTCTCTGTTCTTTGTGCTCAGCCTGTGCTCTGATTCTTTTTTCTCCAGCTCTTCTTGTTTCTCTGCCTGTCCTCTACTTCCTGTCCTTATATCCTCTCTCAGCTTACCTTTTTCTGTCCCCCCCTTTGAATCCGTCTCTCTCTCATGAGGTTGTTGCAGTGCTGCAAAGCGAAATGCTTTATTTCTCTGACCAACCACTTCCTCCATCTCATCTTCAGAACTACTAACAAATAGATAATCTTTCACATGTAATGTTTGGTCTATTGGATTCTCCCTAATGTCTAATTTTTCATTAGGTAAAGAGTTCATATCAGATTCTGTCTCTTCCTCTGAGCTGCTGATGACCACTTGTGGCGCAGAATGATGAATATGTGCAGGCAGTTTGGTGGCTGAGCTACTGATTAGAGTCCTGTGTTCAGCTGCAGTGTCTTCTTCCTCAGCCAGGACTTGTTGGATTGCCAGCAGGGTTTGTGGGGACACACTTCCATCCTTCTTATCCTGGTCATGCATCTCCTCATCTGAGCTGTTGTTCAACGCAGACTGGATTGCCTTGAGTGTACGAGGTGAGGGTGGTGATGTGTCTCCCTCGGACTGTTTTGATACAGAGGATATGGAGTTTTTGGAGGAGGTACCCTTCTTGTCCTCCTCTTCCTCACAAACAGGACGCCACAGGGGCTTGGGTCTGTCTGCTGCTCCTCTTTTGCAGCCTGACCAGGGTGCAGCTGCATGTTGGCTCTCAGGGGCGGTCTCATTCTTTGCGGAGCCTGTGTATGAAAAGTGGATCGGTGTTTTAAATATGGCAACAAAATCAAAAGTAATTTTTTCTACAATGAGACCTCATTAAAGAACCGATGAAGAAAACCTCAGGTTCCAAAAAGAAAAAATGCTCAGACGGTCACTGTTGTCTTCTTAAATATACTGCATTTATTCTGGCCAGAGGTTTGCCTCCTTTTTGATCCTGAGATCAACACAAACTAATCTACCCGACAAAGTCCCATGAGTTCTGACTTGCCCAGCCTAATAGTGACCATGGACATAGAAACATTAACAAATGCTCTTGTACACTGTCAGAGGTCACAGGTGCACTAAGGCCAAACATTCCACTCAGGGAAGGACTAGGAATGGTTAAAGGACCCATATGTCTATGCTCCACTGTGTAGCACAGATGGCACCTCTACACAGCTGAATAAGGGAAAATCCCTAACTGCACCTTACACTGACTAAAACACAAAAACTGACAAATTTCCTGCAAAATGATTAAAAACCATTTTGGTCCTTTGATTAAACATATCATTGTATGTACCTCACCTTTAATAAGGATATAGTGGGAATGGTCTTCTGAAACCAGTCGTTGTGACTCTACGCTGTGATTCTGCTGGTCCCCGTCGGGTTGGCAGAGGTGTGGGGCGCTGCCAGCACTCCGCTGGTTCATCTCCTTCTCCACACCTTCCAGACGCTGGTTCAGTCGGTTCCTCTGCAGTAGGCCGGCCAGCTGGTACTGGGAAAAGTCTCCCGATTGCTAAGAGGAAGTAAAGAGGAGTTCGTATTGAGAGGAGGAGATGGGTGAGTGTGTGAGAGCAAATGAGAGTGAACTATACCTCTGGTGGTTTGTGGTACATTGTCCGGCGTCTTTTAGAAAACTCTTTCATTTCTTTGAGTATCTCATGTTTCATTTCAGGAGGCAGGCTGGCAAACTCCTCTGAATTGATGTCAACTGTGTTTGGGTCTTCATACGATTCCCCCTGAGACACGGTGAGAAATCTGGCTTCAGATTTCAATGATCAAACAGGGCATTCACACAAAAAAAGGCTGAGCGATAAAGCTAACCAATGTAGGAACACAATAATATTATGATCATTTTTGGACAAGAGTTTAAAACGTTTCAGAAGACATCATATAGTTTTTTTGATGCCCAAACAGTTTAATAAGTTTAGAAGAAAAATGTATACATTTGTTGTAATACAGTCCAGACTAAAACAACAGCAGCCAAGTGCTATTAAAATATTATTAAATACCAGATATCTATTTTCTTACCTTTGATATTATATTGATACATTATATCTTTAATGTAGCTTATACACAAACTAGTTGAAACTATATTATTTGGTGGTGGTGCTATAAAATTTGATTGTCTTTTACCTGGTATGTGTAAAAACTGTCAACCATGTCCTCCCACTCTTTCTCTTCCTCCTCCTCTGAACTGCAAGAAGAACAAAATACATTAAAATGATGATAACACCTATGGGTGTCGTTTTAAAATGTTTAGCCTTATGAATACAAAACTGTTTATTCTCACAGAGTTTTCCAGCCTCCATCGTGTTGATCAAAGGGTGGTTGTAAAGCTCTAATTTGAACTACAGATATTTTGACCATCTTATGCACCATTTTATCCACAATTCCTAGGCCTCGAACCTGCTTTTGTCATTCTCCTCTGCCACTGGTAGGGCCGGAAGAACATACATGTCATCCACCTCATCTCTCCTCACACTAGAGAGGCTGGGTAGAGGATCCTTACTATGGTGGGGAAGAAACAAAGTATACTTCAGACACAATTGCTGAGATTACGATGACTCTATTAAGAGAAAAGACAGTTTATGGTGTTGTGTTAAATGAAAGTGGAGAGGAAAACTGAGGCAAAACACTCAAGGTTCAAACTTTATTGCATTCTCACAGAGCAACAGGTAACAACAGGACTCTTTACATTGTTGATATATAATAAGGGGAATATGAAGAATACAAATATATTACAACTTAAAAATAAAAGACTAATTACTGCTGAGACATTGTGGTTCCAGAGATAGGAGCATGTGTTGCACTTTGTTATCCCTCCACCTGTACACTTCTCCTGTGCCTTACCTGCTGTCTCCAAGTGCAGCTTTGATAGCTTGTCTCTTCAGAAATGTCTTTAGGAGTTTCTCATTGGTCTGTCTGGACTCCCGGCTGAACTCCTCCTTCCTCTGCCTCCTCAAAGCCTGCAGAGCCACAGCCAAAGCCACATTAAGTAAAAGAAAAAGTGGGAATCACAACCATTTGGCAAGAATATCATACACCTGTTAGTCTTGCTTGGAAAACATTTACACACAATGGTTATGTGGTAATCCAGCAACCACTGGGCCTACCTACCAGAGTCTGCTTCTTCAGCAGTGGTGCATCCCCATCAAACACAAAGACTGGCCTGATGCGGAAGAAAAGCAGCTTACAGATGCGGTGGAAGAGAGTGAGGAGATGGGCGTTCTGGACACTGTTACCTTCACGGTCCCTCACCCCTTTCACCGCTTGGTTCAGCCATATACTAATGTCTGTTGGTGTCTGGTTAAAGTTAATGCTGTGGTTTATCCGAAGACAGTTAAATCAAGACATCTACCAGAGAGACCAAGCACCATGATAAAGATATTATGAATATGAGTATCTGACAGACATTCACTCCAGATCCAGTGGTGTTTTATTACTCGGAGACCAACAATGAATTACTGATTAAATAATACAAATAATGTTCATGCTAAGTTTCTCATGTTTCTTATGATGAAATAAATACTAAATAAGTCTAATGTAGAAAACCTATTCTGACTGTGAATATGAAATGTAATTTATTTTACATGTACATTTTAATTGTGGCGTTTTTTTCAACAGTTTACATTTAATGACCCAGTGACACCAAATCACCCCAAATGAAAACCAAATCTACGCCGATCAAGTATGTTAGGACATAATGTTACCTCTTAATACCCGATTGCAATGTTTCTTGTTTTATAAATCTGTTTTGATGAAAAGTTATGATTTTTACAATACTTGTAAACAATAAAAACACAGATTTCGCCACCAAGTTAGGATACCAACAGCAAGAATCTTTCCCTCTAGTGTCTCGGGGTTAATGGGTTTCCCTGTGCTCTCCAGCAGCCTCCACAGTCCGTGCACTCCCATGGTAAAATGTACACGCAAAACTCACACGAAAAATCTTGAAAATCAAAAACGGAACCACAAAACAGTAAGTTAACTAACCACTTGGGTCACAAGCAAAAAATGTAAAATAGCAACACTTCTCAACATTTGTTGTAACGATATAATTGTCCGGAGAGCAAATTTTGACTACGCATGAAGGTTCCGCGTTATGTGGCAGTTACACCACCAGCTTTGGGCAGCATCCATTTTCTGATCTCTAATCAGTTTCAACATTTACCTACTGTGTGAGAATGTCAATAGAGTAAGACAGCAACCGATCGGGGTTCAGTTTTTGTGGCATGGCCGGACAGACTGTGGGTATTATCTTCCTCGTTCAGAACTGTCAGGTTGTCTTTATACTTTTGTATTGCGTCAACGGAATTGATATGTTGTTATTGATTTTATGATTACAAATTTGAATCATGACTTAACATTAGGGCTGTGAAAAGTGAACACATTTTCCTTTGCAAAATAGGAGAGGTTTTTAAATAGGAAGTTTGGCCTGAATGGCCTAACATAGGGCAAAATCGCTTACCACTCTTCTTGACTCTATCCGCCGGTGACCAAAGAAAAGAAAACGGATTGCCGTTTACATTAGTCGAGGGTGTTGGAGCCATTGTTATCCAGCCAGTATGTAATGTAACAATTTGCCTGAGTCTCAAAAATTGTTAGCATTTCCTTGTGTTGCTAAGAACTATGCTGTTAGCGTTAACGTAATTTTAACTTGTGCTATTAAACTTCTCATTAACTACTCATTTGTTTCAGCTAACGTTAGCTAGTTAGCTACTAGCTAGCCACGGTTGTCGTGTAACGTTATCAGTACCTTGCTATAAACTGAGCTATATGACTGAGTCGCGGCCTAGGTTCACTATCTCACACACTCGATACTAGAAATGTTAACAACAAACTACCTTCCCCGTTGTTGATTGTCATAGGACGAAGAGTCACAGGGGTTTCATCTAAACTACAGACCTCATTTCAGCTAATACCACCTCAATCATGACTGCTGCTGTGAGAGGTATGTATTGTTTTCAGTACATCTCCAATAGTTTAATTTCATTTCAGATATATTTTCTATCTGTTACAACAAAGTGGTGAGCAGTTGTGATAAAACAGGTGAGAACACTGGTTTATATCAGTAGTTCAATAATCCATGCATGTTCATTAACTTTCTTGATTACATGCAGTTTGACACATGTAAAGATTAATAAGCAGGGAACTGATTTCTTTTTATCCAGCTTGTGTTTGTAGACTGAGAATAGTCTATTTAGACTGATCAAGAGCTGTGATGATTAGTTGATTAACAAAACGTTATTGAGCAGTTGTTTTGATAATTGTTTGTCATCTGTCAAGCAAAAATGATAAATACATGTTTGATCCACCTTCTTAAATGTAAAACTTTGTGGCTTTTCTTTGGTTTAGGACAGTAAACTAAAGATCTTTGGGGATTTGGACAGTATTTGGTCAAAAAAGCTTTTTATATTGTACCTTGGGACCTAGGAAATTGGGAAGAATCAGGAAAATAATCTGCAGATTCATCAATAATAAAAACAATAATTTGTTCCAGGCTTTGACTCATTCAGATTGTGTTTCTTTACACTAACAAAATTATACCTTGAACATAAGCAATCTTTAAGGGATCATTTGATTTTCTTGTCTCTTTTTTTTTTGGCTGCTGCCAAACATAAAAACAGTAGCATCTACACTCATCCATACAACTGTGGTCAAGTATTAATTGAAATTGTGCGATACTTGTGCCCATCTAGTACCTGGGCTCTGGTCCCAACACCAAAAGCATGATTTTGTTCACACTGGCACCTTACTTTCCAGATTATAATCATGCTTTTTCTACAAACCCCTTTTGTCTAAGTGTTGTCTGGATGATAAAATACAGTGTGAAACTGGAAACTTAAAATCACTAACTATCCAATCAAAAAAGGATAAGCAGCATTAAAAATCTGGTCTGTTTTTGGTAATTGGTGCAGTACATTTTGGTGGGTACCAGTAAAGTATAGAGGTTCAATACCCAGCCCAACATGCTGCAACAACTTTTTGTTGTGTAATACAAAGTTGACTAGACACTCATTTGCTATGGTCAGAGATGCATCTGGATTAACACTACATTATACATGAGGCACGAATCCCCTTAAACATGTTCAACTGGAATCCGGTACAGCTTCAGCGTGTTATAGCATTAGCATTTAGAGCGGTCCGCTACTGATTGAATCGCTCAAGATGTGTTTAAGTGCACAGTCTAAACTTGGCTGTGTTTATTTCTTCCAGGTTCTGCCTATGTCCCTATCCGAGGTGCTGGTGATGGCATGGAAACTGAAAAACCACTAGCAACCCTGGAAGTAAACACAGATGCACTGCAACCAGGTCCATCTGCAGTTCCTCTCCTGAAAGAGGCTAGCTCCAAACACAGCCCAAAATCGACCCGTCCCGCTCCCCCTGCTACCCCCCAGCCTCTTGGGGTGCTTCACCTGGGCAAGTTGAGTCGAGAGACCTGCACAGAGGTGGAGGCTGTGAGAATTGTCATCCCGCGTGCTGCTATCAGCAGAAGCTCACGGACAGGACCTGCTGAAGGGAAAGGGGAGGCGGGGCAACAGGCTGAGGAGCAGGGCTCTCCCCCACGACCTCTGGTGGAGGACTGGAGAGGACAGCTGGAGAAGCTGCAGAACTCTGAACGCAGGCTGCTGCAGGACAAGGAAGGGCTTTCCAATCAGCTCCGGGTGCAGATAGAGGTACAGTGCAAATGAAGCAGATATACTACATTCTACACAGTCAGGTTTATTGCTGTTTCAAGTCTCAAAACATGTAGAAAGTATGGATAAGTAGAACAGTAAAGTGTAGTTAATACAGTGTAACTATCCTCCTTCTTATCAACAATGAAGCCACTGTATTTTTGTTTCTTTGAAGTGATCATGATTGAATATAAAAGAAACAGTTAATTTCCTCATGAGTGTCTTCAACTGTGAAAAGGAACTTTATTCATTCTGTGTGTCAGGTGAACCGTGAGCTAAAGAAACTGCTGGTGGCATCGATGGGCGACGACCTTCAGTACCACTTTGAGCGTCTGGCACGGGAAAAGAACCAGCTGATTCTGGAGAATGAGGCTCTAGGGCAGAATCTGGCACACACGGTAGAGCAGCTGGAGCGAATGAGTATCCAGTGTGACGTTTGGAGGAGCAAGTTCCTGGCCAGCCGGTATGAAATGGAAAAAGTAACTCTGTGACAAATAAAAATGGTTTGAAGAACAAGAAAAAGATGGAAAGGAATGGGACATCTTATTTCAGAGTATAAGCAGCTGTTGTCATCTCAGCTTCAGTTTTAAAAGAAGCTGTTTGTGTTCAAGCATCTGACAATGATTTTCAGTGTAGCTGGAAGAATATAAATAAAATACAGAAGAACATTCTTCTCTATTGATAAGTGAGAGATGACTTTTATATTATTATGCTCAAATCAATGCTGTCTCTTCAGAGTCATGGCAGAGGAGCTGACAAATGCCAGAGCAGCTCTGCAGAGACAGACCAGAGAGGCACAAGGAGCGATTCAGGACCTGCTGTTAGAGAGAGAAGAGTTCTCCAGGGACATGCTGCTCACTCACAGGTAGCATAACCGTTAATCCATAATTATTAAATTAGGTAATTTGTACAGATTCCTGAGGCTGATCCTAACAATCGGTGTAATAGTTGTATCTCCACTTATGGCATTTCTTTATGTTTTAAGAAATTAATTACTGTTCTCTTTGTGTCTACTAGTGCTTGGTACAGTAAAAAAATGTTAGCATTTCATGTTTTATTCTTGCTATGCATTATGCAAATGCTATTGTCACATTTTATTTTATGACGTGAGATAAAGTAGGTCTATCTGTTTCAGAATGATGAGACTGAGTAGACTCCATAATTTCTCATTGTGAGGGTGTGATCATTGTGTAAAAAGACTGTATTAATATATTCTGTATATATATATAATACCGTATTTTGCGCACCATAAGGCGCACCAGATTATAAGGCGCAGTCTCAATTACGGGGTCTATTTCTGTACTTAACCCATACATAAGGCGCATGCTAAAACGTAACGGAAGCAAAACAGTGAGTTTAGTTGAACTTTATTCTATTTAACAATACACACATTATTTTTTAATCAATCTTCTCCCACAAATCCATCAAAGTCCTCATCTTCTGTGTCAGAATTGAACAGCTGGGCAATTTCGCCTTCAAACATGCTGGGTTCAGTTGTCGGAGTCAGTCTCGTTGCCAGGTGGCTGTTCAGCAATGATGCCGGCTTTCGCGAAAGCTCGGACAACAGTTAAAGCAGATATCTTAGCCCAGGCATCCACAATCCATTCACATATGGTGGCGTAACTCGCCCGGCGCTACCTCCCAGTCTTAGTAAAGGTGTGTTCGCCGTCTGTCATCCATCGCTC